GAGTCTTTGATGAACTCACGTCCATTGACTTACATGTCTGAAGATGTCGAAGATCTTAGTCCATTAACCCCTGCCTTGTTCTTACACGACCTCAAAGAAATAGGAGTTCCAGATCTGGACTCTATTGAAAGGGCTAGTCTTCAGAAGAGATACCGATTTAGACAAAGGTTAAGAGAAGATCTGCGGAAGAGATTCCGGACGGAGTATTTTGGATTCTTAAGGCAAGAGACTAGAAGACGCTCGAAGACAAGACCTATCAAGGTGGGAGATCTGGTGTTGATTGGACAAGATAATGCTAAGCGAGTCAATTGGCCTTTGGCGAGAGTTGTGGAGGTCTACCCTGGCCGAGATGGACCTGTGAGGGTCGCCAAGTTGAGAACCAGCAAGGGCGTCCAGATTAGGCCGGTTCAACGGCTCTACAATTTAGAGATACCCGCCGATCTGGGGAGTACCTTGAGGAGTATACAGTCGGAACCACGCCGGGGAGGCTCCCGAGGAGAAGCCAGTAAAGACCCTACGAAGATAGCCCAATCCTAAAGAACTGGAATGAAAACGGTCGTTTCCCAACTATTGGTTGAGTTTCTGTAGAAAAACTCAAGGTGGGAGTATGTTGGGAAAAGAATGTTATTTTTCTTATAGATTTATATTTTTTTAAATATATGTAAATTTAATCCATTATAAGAAACATATTTGCCATATGTAAATATTTATATGTATATATATTCGTGACAAAAAATAAAGTAGTTGACTGGTTAGAGTCGTGTGGTTTCTCGGCCCGCTCTCGAGAGGTCTACGCCTTGGTTGATACCTGCCTTAGACACTTCCGCGGATTTGACTTCTTGGAATCGCTCTTCTCTACCTTTGAGATTCCACGGATTTTTTCCTCCCCGGGACCAGAATAAGAGACTTCGGGCGTCTGGGCAAAATAGAGCCTGGGCGCTGCGCCGCTGAACGCGACAACTGTATTGGTCTATTCAGCTTATATTTAAGGATGAATAAAACTCTATTCAGTCGGTTATTTATGGAGTCGCGCAAGAAAATCCCTATCACAGATAAAAAATTCTTATAATAATAAGTTAACACTCAAAACTCAAAATTCAATTAGTCGATTTGAAATTTTAATTTAAAAATGTTTTTTTATTGCCCAGGCATAGGACAAATGACCATTACTCGAGTTATTCATCTAGTATGTTATAATTGCTATATAAAGAATTCAAATAGAGCAATTCATAAATAGTTATATCTCTTTTGAAGTCCAAACACCATTTACACAATTCAATACGGAGTTTTAGTTTGATATCTACTTATGGTAATAGGTTTAATTATCTAGTTTGTAATACAGTAAAACCTCCATGAGAGGACACTCGTGCTAGAGGACACCTCTCTACACAAAGGACAGTTTTCATTTGTAAAATTACCATTTTTACTATTTAGTAACTCCCCGGTAAGAAAATTCCTCTCCCTAAAGGCCACTTTGGCTCTGTAATTAGGTGTCTTTTACAGGGAGGTTCTACTGTATGACAAAAAAATTCTCTCTCTCTCTCTCAATAATGTTTAGTTTAAAGTACTGTAAATCCCCAAGTTGAAGCCTTTCCGGGGAATAGACATTGCTTTACTCCTTTTTGGTGTTATACATGTTTCCCTAGCGGGTCTTCATAATTAAAGCAAATAAAAGCAGATAAAAGTAAATAAAAGTAAATTACCTCTCAAATTTATTGTGTTTATTTATTTGTTGTCTTTCTCGTAGTTGGTGATCTTGAATATTCGCCTACATTCTCTCTCTCTCCAAATTAAACCATTCTATATACAGTTACGAGCGTCATGCGTTCTTAATTCTTCAGTTTTCCTCTCTGTCACCGTTTGCTTTTTTTTGGAATGGCGCTCTCCTATTGGTTGGCTACGATCACGCCACCTTTGCCCCCCCCCCCCCCCCCCATCATGCCTCCCCCCACTCGCTTTTTGGTTTTTGTAACTATTGTGTTGGAGCGGGATCTTTCTTTTTCCCAGTATGAGACAGTAAGCCAACAGTACATAGACAGATAAAGCACATAGGCTATAGTTATTAACTAATATATGCATTTATTTAAGGCGCCAATTTATAATTGTAACAAATAGTATTTGAATAAAAACATTCAATCGGGTAAAACACGGGCGTTGCCCGGGTCATTCGGCTAGTCAAGATATATACAGCAACTATGTTACAAAAGGAATGAAACTATAAAAAGGAAAAATATACATTAGTATATAATCTGTTTAAAATAAATTTTAAATATCATAGAATATTTTGATTAAATGTAGAGCGCATCAAAATTGATGCAACAATATGGAAAGAAAAAGAGAAATCGGTATGAACACCTCTCGATAATTCAAAATAAATTGTATTTATTATAGAAATAGACAAAGTTGCCTTTACTTCTCTTTACCCTGTTGGGTCGAAAACAATTAATTTCAAAGATTTGATGTTTTTTGTTCCTCCTTCTTTAATTTCTTTAATTTGAATTGGAAATTGCTTGAGAGAAACTTTTAGAGTTTGTAAAATTGATTTTTGTTGTTTTCTCTCTTTGTTTTATCTATTCCTTCTTTTAAAAACACATTCGTCAAATGTTTATTTAAATTCAGAAGAATATTCTGACTTTTAAATGGCATGCGATCAAGTGTATGTATTTTATTGAGTAATTTCTTAAAATTCACAATTAGGGCCATAAGAATTAAAAGAGAGAAAAATTAAGCAGAATATCTTGTATAAATGCAAATTGAATATGTATGTTTGTATGTGTATATGCCATTTATATACCATATAATGCGACTATGATTATAGAACGACGTTTAACAAGTTTTACTGCAAATGTTTCTTTTTACAGAACGAAAAATCGTAATTTTAATTATTTTAAGGAGAAATAACGACTATTCCCATCCTTAGGGATGAAGTATGTGTTATGATTGAACTGACAAGTTGATCCGGCAACACGGCAGACTCGATGCAATTGAGTATGCGTCCTTCAGCCTGAATGCAACTCAAAGAAAATACGCACAGATAGAGAAAGAACTTTTGGCTATAGTCTTTGGATGTGAACGCTTTCAGTACTATATTTGGGGAAATGATGTTATTGTGGAAACTGACCACAAACCTCTCCTGAGTATTGTTAAGAAACCTTTAGAAAAACTTTCCCCAAGACTGCAAAGAATGGTCTTACGTCTGATGAGATTTCAAATATCTTTGAAGTTTACACCAAGGAAAAACATGTTTGTAGCTGACCTTCTGCCTAGAGATCCACTAAAAGATGAGGTGGACACAAGCTATTAGAAGGTCAAACTGAATCAATGCACATGTTGCTGGTTACCACAGATGAAAAAATAAAGAGACTACAAAAAAGAAAACTCATGGGGACCACACCTTGATACAACTAATAGAGTATGCGAATAGTGGATGGCCGAAATATAAAACTAAGGTCTGTAATGAAGCAAAACCCTACTGGCAATTTCAAGATGAAATTCATGTAAGTCACTGAATTTTTTACAAAGGAAATTGCATCATGGTGCCATCGACTCTTCGAAAAGAAATCCTGCAGGTTGTTCATTCATCACACCAGGGCATAGCAGCTTCCAAAGAAAAAGTAAGATCAGCATTTTACTGGCCCGGCATGATAACACAGTAGTATAAAATGAAGTAAAAGTAGAAAATGAAGTGGAAAAGTGCAGAACATGTCAGGAATATTCAAAAAGAATCCTGAGGAGTCAAGAATAGCTCATGAAATCCCTGAATTTCCATGGGAAAAAATTGCTGTAGATTTCATGGAGGTGAGTGGAACCAGTTCCATCTTGGTTGTCGATTACCACTCAAAGTTTGTTGAAATCCGGAAATTATCAAGCAAAAGAGAAACCGAAACCATCATGCAGTCGAAGACCATTTTCAGGACTCATGGAATTCCAAGAACTCTAGTTTCGGATAATGGACCCCCTTTTAACTCTACTGGATTCAAAAATTTGCCCAGAAATATGAATTCAAACACCAAACCTCCAGTCCCAAATATCCAAGATCTAATGGACAAGTTGAGAGGACAATTGAAACCATCAAAGGACTGATAATTAAAGCTGTGAAGTCAGAAAGAGATCCCAATATTGCCTTGATGGAGTTCAACAACACACCTAAGTATGATTTGCCATCTCCGACCCAAATGTTTATGGGAAGATCTGTGAGAACTCTTTCGACATACACCCGACAACAGTTAAAACCACTGTTTGACACAACAAAGAATTACCAAAAATTGAGAGACCATCAACAAAAGTATGCAGGAAGTCCAAAGAGAATTTTGAGACCTTTGGAAGTAGGAGACAACATCATGTTACAGGAAAAGCATAGAAAATGAGTTCCGGTAACAGTGACCGCAAAGCATGAAACTCCACGCTCATATATGGTGAAAACACCAAGTGGGTCTGAATACCGCAGGAAAAGGTCTCACCTTAGACCGAGAAAGTTCAGTGCAGAAGATTCTGCCCCAACAATTCAAAGTCCAAGCATTCCTGGATCTCAAGCAGGGACAGCCATGGATGACAACATACAAGATCATGGAAGACCCACTTCCGAAAACAGAAGAGCATGTAATCCAAGGCAGGACGTTGCCAAAAAAGGTGAAGAATCATCTACTTCTCCTAGTGTGGTAGAACAGTGAGAAAACAATTGCGTTATAGAGACTAGGAGAACTGCAATCCTTTTTTATTTTTGTTTAAAGGAAACATGTTATGATTCAACTGACAAGTTGATCCGGAAACACGGCAGACTCGATTGAAAAACATGAGGATATGTAAATAACGATGATATAAAAAAGGACATATGTAAAATAAATAAAGATTGAGTTCAGTTGCCTGCTGCGTGATCAAAGAGGCACAAAAAAAACCAACATAAACAACAGTATGGAAGGATGGATTGGAAAGAGTAATGATGGTTTATATATAAATATATAAATATATAAATTAACTTTATATAATATTTACGAACGGAAAAATATGTCCAGGGTAGACTAGTGGACATGGCATCTGCCTGGTAAGCAAAACACTGTGGGTTCGATTCCCATCCCATTTTCGTTACGTAAAAAGAACCATTCGCGGTAAAACTTGTTAAACGTCGTTCTATATTCCACATTTATGTCTTCATAGGGCCAAATCCCAAAGCCATTGTCTAAATGTGGGTGAGTTTTACAAAGTTGTTGTTGATGATATGTCACCCACTAGATTGCAGAAAATAGCCTTGAAACGTAGATATATAAAAACCTTGAGTTTTATTATTTTTTGTTGTGATTTTTAACGTATTATACCTCTATTAACTGAATATTTAACATAAAAATTGACCTATACCATGATGCGACAATAATACACAACAATAGCAAATTATAATAGTTACACATACACTCATGTACAAAACTTACGGAAATGTAAAATATTTGATGTCTTTTTTTTTTCAAGGGAACGGTGGCAATTTTGTTCACACTCGGTTATCTCGTATGTTTTCAATAAAAGTCACTGTGCATTAAATATCTTTCAGAGTTATTTTCAGAGAGAATCCCGATATATATACTTAAAGGTACAACTTCCTTAAGGTTTGTTCATGAGTGTATTTATCGCAAGCTTGTTGTGATCGTAATGCATATTGATTTAATTTTAAAAAATACGTCACAGTTATTTTCAAGTTGAATATCATTGTACATATTGCTGATTCAGGGAGGCGCGGGAAATCGTATTGGCGAAGACAAGTTATTTAACAATCTGTATAGGTACTGTTGGAGACACAAGCATGTTCTTGTGATAAAGGTGATCTGATATGGTTGTCAAAGACCACCTTGTCAAGAAGATGACAGTCTTTTTTACCTTCTTGGATAGGTCGATGATCTTCTGATCAAAAGTTTGCCAGTCTGATATAAGTAATAGTAAAAGTATATAAAAGTAATATATTACAAGTAATATAATACTTGTATAATAGTAAAGGTGAAGTATGAATGCCAATGTCTCTTGACTAATTTACAATCTGTCGCAATCTTTTCGTTCGCAATTATACTTCTCTCTGAATCGTAGACAGAGAGACTACCAGTTCAACCGATGGGAGGAAAAGCTGAAAATATCAAAGAAGACTGAGATACACGCATTGCTAGGCCTTGTCACCGATACTATATATATAGCTGATGGCTGTTTTTCTTGTTGGTAATTTTTCTCTCTTTCTTCGACTCCGGGACAAGTCTATAAGAGACTAAATATCGTTTAAAAAGCTTAATAGCAGAATACAAGATAAAACATGCATACGATATTTGGTTGCTTTTACTTGGAGAAACAGAGAGGGGATCTTTTGGGCGATTTACCCATGTCTCAATCTGATGGTCAACAAAATATATAACTGGATGAATACAATGATGTTTGATCAAGGTCTTCTTTTTGGTTTATATAAATTCTACAAGACCGCAGTTATCGTTCGGAAGAGATTAACAGAATCGCTGAATTTCGTGGTCCATTTGGATGAGGGAAGCGAAGACTAGAGAGAATACGCTGATTCAACACTAACTCTTTCAGTGATACGCTAACCTTGACATATGCACGAAAGAACGTGGGACCACTGGACATGTGTCGGACCTGTAGACTGTTGTTGGGTTCTGCGCTGCCTGAAGTACAGGAGCTCCATCTATGCCTTTTTTCTTCCTGTGGTGAATCTGTATAAGACCGATGGTCTTGATAAACCTTTGGTGTTTAAAAATGATTTATCCCCTATTTTATTTATTGCTATTTAGTATATCAGTTATAGGAAGCAGATGTCAATGTAGGATAGATAGAGGAGACAATACCTAGCTGGAAGTAAGTACGAGATAAACCCCGAGGGAGCAGAGACATAAATATTGGATTAGAGGAGGAACAAGGACATTAAGTCAACAGACGAAGACTAATCAAGACTAACGAGCAGAAGAAACACGCCGACAACAAATTAAATACGCAACTTTCTCATCTAACTAGAGCAACATCTCAAGTCCAGTGCTTTCTTCTACCGCCTTGAACTCTGATCTGATTTAAAATATAGGTCATGTTTGTTCATTCTTTGATGGGTATTTTATACCTGCTTTATCATACTGTGTGATTAACAATTATTTTATTTCCAAAGCGCTATATCCCGCAAGGGCTACTTGCGCTAAACAAGGAGAAAAGTTTATTTACATAAGTTATTTACATTATTCAACACATGAAAACACTAGAGATCCAGATTTTGTAGAAAGTTTAGAATGTATTTACAAAATGAATTAAACTTTAAATATGATTTTTTTTATCGGAAATCAAATCGTTAAGTTCATAAACAACTAGTTCATTCTTCATTCTATAATCTTGAAATTCTGGGCATAATACTGTGTGATGAACATATGTAATTAACTACTATATATCTAAGAGATTGAAGCATTAAACCACGAATGCTTCCATTTCTTAAATATAGATGGTATATTATCACCTTACAATTACTGTATATCTACTATATCATACTTCTAAACATGATGCATTAGCGCGACATCTGTTATCAGAAATTTAAACTAATTCAACGTGTATGATTCTTTCATATACTGATGAACCAAGACTCCCATTTATTTATCAAGACAGTACGTGCAGTACAAATTGTTTTATTTAAAAAGAAAGAATCATAGGCCTTAAAAATAGTCTAATTTCTGATACTTTCTGATGTTTTTATATGTTTGTGAAAGCTTAGCAATTCATATTTCATTTGTTATATAAGTAATATGTGTTTACCGATTAATTTAAGGCGTGTAGCCATACGAAATATTGGGGAAAAATAAAGATATTTGAATAGCAAAAAAAGCATTCTTCAAAAAGTTTCTATGTATATCATATGGTATGTCGTTGTTTTTATTCGCGCTCCAATTGGCGGTTGACTGTCACGTGTCCTTAATAAGCCAATCAGCGTTGCGTTCGTCAGCCGAACAGAGTGCAGAGTTTCTATAGTTCAGAGTCATTGATATTAAATATAAGATCGCGGATTCGATTATAGAAATATTTATACCTCATTTTGGTAATAATTAAATAATTTTGTTGTCATTCTATTTGGATGAACCTTTAAAAACAAAACTATTTGAGAGCTATATTTATGAATTATTTTGTTATTAGGTTTATTTATAACGCATGATTAGCCTTTTTCTGTTAGGTGGAAAATTTTATTTATTCATCCCGAGAAAAGTTGGATTCCATTCCATTGACACATTTCAAAGTTAAATACCCCTTAGGGGGTCGGTGGAAGGATAGTCTAAACCATTGGTTTTCGACCGCTAGGACCCGGGTTCAATTTCCGCATTGGGGAATTATTTCTGATTATAAAAAAAAAAAATGCTCCAATGACCCCCGATTCTTGCAAAAGTCCAACCCCCCACCAGCGAGTGCAAGTAACCAAACGGGGCTCTGGCACATTTGTAAGTTCAAAGTCGAACTGCTTTTCACATGTATGGACATGTGGTGTACTTACAGTAAAAGCAGTCGCCTACCTCTACCCACCATGATTATCATGGCCTGTACCACGTGTACTGGGGATATGCAAAAAAAAGGTTAAATTATTCTTGAATTCTCCCTTCATATGCGCGATGGTCTAATGCTTCAGTGTATTGTATTCAAGAACTGACAATATTTTTAGAGAGATTTCTTTTTCTTTTTCAAATAGCATAACGTCAGCGATTGAAAAAGTATTGAGAGGTCCTGACACATCAGGAATGAACACTCCCATCAGTTTCGTCTATTGTAATAAACGACAACGCTCTAATATGATATTGGAATTTTTTAGATATTGTTTGATCTGATAAATAAATATTATCTTTAAATTTTTTCGATTTTTTGCGTATAGATGGCGCGCTAATGTCTTGTGTTTATTATATATTATCTATAACAATCAGGTTTGTCATAATCATCACATTATATATATATGTAGTTATAATTTATCAATAAATATTTTATTGCCTCATAAAAGAACTGGTAATGGACACAATAAAACACTGAAGGACAAGTAAAAAAGTGGTTTACAGCTCTAAGTTAGAAGTCGTGAAACTTTTTCAGTCCTCTCTTACAGTTAATACACTTCTAATAAATTAACCTTACAAATATTTCGTGATATCTGACTCCCCTTTTCACAAGAGCCAAGACGACGTGGGTGATAGTTAAGGAAGTACTATTGGCCCCAGGGGAACTGGGGAATTAAAGGAAGATAGTCAGCTGTGGAAGAGACAAGCGAGGATGAACAGACAGTCTTGTGACATCAGCGGTGCGAGAGAAAGCAGCAAGTTGTCTCCACGAGTGTTGCCGTGTAGATGATCCTGGAAGAGGGTGTCAGAGAAACTTGTCCGACCTGGACTGCTGTAGGCGAGGAAGATCCTTCTGGCGGGGGATATTGGAGACATCTAATCCTTAATTTTACTAGCAGCTACTAGAAATAAAGTGTATCGCGCTAAACTGTATCTACATAAACCCTCTTGTTATTTACATGCCTTGTACACAAACAACGGCTGAAAAGCGTCTTAACAATATGCTACAAATTTTACGGGAAAAACATCCTCAAGTCAACATCTGGACAATAAAATCTTCATCAAGAATATAGATTCTTTCAGTAGTCCAATTTCATCAATGAGTGAGACTAATCAAACAGATCTCTGGCACATTTATTAGTGAAATGGTCTGTGTTCTACATGTGTAGACATGTGATGCACTTGCAGCAATAGCAACTCACCATGAATATCATTTTTTAATATATAAACCTTTTATAAAGAAAAAGTTCAAATAGGCATCTATACTTGTAGTAGTCCAATCTCACAAATGAGGGCAAATAATCAAACGGAACTCTGGAACATTTGTAAGTGCAACCGTCAATAGGTTTCTACATGTTTAGATATGTGGTGTATTTGCAGGAAAAGAAGTCGCTAGTAACCCAACATGAATATCATGGCCTGTATCACGTGTACTTTGGATATGAACAACCCATAAATATATACACTAACCAGCCACTTAGCCTGCTACCTCAGCCATCTACCAGACTCTACAATACCATATGACAGCACGAGGACAGTA